GATGATTATACAATGAACCGTATAAGAACAGAGCTCTATAAGATGGAAGAACGTGCAAAACAATGAATCTGCAGTAGTTTCTCCTGACACGACTGAGAATCAAGTTACCGACGGGAAAGTGATGATGATTTTGAAATGAGGGTGACGATGACGATGATGAGGAGAATGGTGATGAAGACGACGAGGGAAAATGGTGATGAAGATGATGAGGGAAAATGGTGATGGAGATGATGAGGAAAATGATGATGAAGATGATGAGCAGAATGGTGATGGAGATGATGAGGAAAAGGCTAAGGCTGATGAAGATGATGATGGAAACTGTGATGAAGATGATGACGATGACGAGGTTGAAAAAAGATGAAAAAGATAACGAAAATGCAGAGATAAAACCAACTTGATGATAAGCAATCTCTTTTATCAAAAAATTATGCAAAAAAGCGTTTCAAAACTGTTGCACCTACACACACACACACAAACACACACACAAACACACTCACACACACATACAATATATTTTTAATAAAATATATATTTATACCACCTCCATAATATTGTAGTATTGTATGATCATGTAAATTTTTAACGTGCGGTGTGGTTGTTTGTTTGTTTGTATGTTTGTTTGTTTGTATGTATGTGTGTATATGTATGTCGGTGCTTCTATGTATGAGTGTGTGTGTTTGTACGTGTGCATGTGTGTGTATGTGTTGAATGTATGAAAATTTCGAAGTTAATCAGAAGAAAATTGCTTCATAATCTTAAGAAAATAATTTCATGTTTATTCGAGTGGTACTTTTGCAAGTATATTTATTATCAAGTTATGCATCTGTGTGTGTGTCTGTGTGTGTGTCTGTGTGTGTGTGTCTGTGTATGTGTGCGTGTATGTGTGAGTGTGTATGTGAAAGCACATTTATGTATTTATTAATATCTAAATAGGTCGTGTCAAAAGGTCATAAGCCGAAGCATATAAACAAATAACCTCCGTAGGTCCTTCCTCATTGGCTGCTGCGTTCTATCGATGTTGTTGTTGCTGTTGTTGCTGTTGTTGTTGCTGTTGTTGTTGCTGTTGTTGTTGCTGTTGTTGTTGCTGTTGTTGTTGTTGATGATGATGATGTTAGATAAATATATGTGATTTGTTATTGATGGGTTGTTATTCCATGATTATGATTATGGTTTTTTTGATAAATCAGCCAATCAACAAACAAATCAAAAAATAAACACACCAACCAATCAACCAACCAACCAATCAAAAAACAAACCCATCAATCAACCAACCAATCAAAAAATAAACACACCAACCAATCAACCAACCAACCAACCAATCAAAAAACAAACCCATCAATCAACCAATCAATCAAAAAATAAACACACCAACCAATCAACCAACCAACCAACCAATCAAAAAACAAACCCATCAATCAACCAACCAATCAAAAAACAAACACACCAACCAATCACAGGCGTATGTTCCCGACCTTTCAAATCCGTCTATACGGCCTTGACCCCACCTGCGATTATACCCTCATGATGGATTTTGTACCTTGCGACGACAAGCGATATCGATACAGTTTCCATAGTAGCAGTTGGGTTGTTGCTGGTAAGTAGTAGTATTAGTGGTAGTAGTTAGTAGTAGTAGTAGTAGTAGAAAGTAGTAGTAGTAGTAGT